GGATAGTTCCATTGCAAAAGTTTTCATGTGGTGAAAAGAAATGTGCTTATATCTGTTATTTTGGTCTTGGCCCTTATTTTAAAACTTTGTTACTAAAGCATTGTAAAAATGCTGAGTTTTTTTACATTACTTATTTTGATGAGACTCTTAATCTGACAAATCAAAAGAAGCAACTAGATATTTATGTGAGGTACTGGCATCACGAAAATAAGGTCAGAACTCAGTACCTTACTTCTGCATTTATAGGGCATGCAACAAGTGAAATTATTTTATCCAAATTTTATGAATGTGTTGAAAAACTAGACTTGTCAAAACTCTTACAAATATCGATGGATGGTCCTGCAGTAAACTGGAAATTTTATGATTTATTGCAACAGGACTTGACAAAGGAATATAACATTCAATGCTTGACATTAGGGACATGTGGTTTTACACATTCTTAACAATGCTTTCAAGCATGGGATGTCATCCACTGGCTGGGACATTCCATCATTCTTATCCTCCTTATATTGGATTTTTAAAGATTCTCCTGCAAGACGTGAAGATTTTTTAAGTATATCTGGCTTAAAAAAGCTACCTGTGAAGTTCTGCTTTTACCGATGGTTGCAAAATGTCCCAGCAGTTGAAAGAGCCATTGAAATATGGGATGACTTGCTACTGTACATTAAAAAAGTTGAAATGGGGAAGTTTAAAAAAAATTCATCGAAATCCTTCTCAAATATTTTGGAGGCAACTAAAGATAAAACATTTCTTATAAAATTAAATTTTTTTCTCTCTCTGTCGAAAATACGAGGGCTATCCAGAAAGTAGATTACGTTTTGGAATAAAAAAATAAACAAAATATAGGAAACAAATTTTATTATATACAGATGAAAGCCACACTCAAATACTACTTTTCTACATAGTCACCATACAAATTAAGGCATTTATCGTAGCGATGTACGAGCTTGGAAATTCCTTCGTCGAAAAATTCGGCCGCCTGCGCCTTCAACCACTTCGTTACCTCTTCTTGCAGCTGTGCGTCGTCATCAAAACGCTGCATAGCCAGCCACTTCTTCATTGCTGGGAATAGGTGGAAGTCGCTCGGTGCCAGGTCGGGACTGTACGGCGGATGAGGAAACAACTCCCACTTAAAAGATTCAAGAACTTTACGAGTGACATTTGCCGTGTGGGGCCGGGCGTTGTCGTGAATCAACAAGATCTCAACATTCCTCTGCGCTTGTTTTGAATTGCTCTTCTGAGTTTTTGGAGAGTTTGGCAATACCTTTGAGAGTTTATTGTAGTGCCTCTTTCCAGGAAGTCCACCAAAATTACACCTTTTCTGTCCCAAAAAACAGTCGCCATCATCTTCCTTGCCGACATTGTTTGCATGCATTTCTTGGGTTTTTGGGGAGAACTTGTGTGCCCCCACTGCATTGATTGCAATTTCGTTTCACAGTTCACATGTTTCACCCATGTTTCGTCACCAGTAACGATGCGATCGAGTAAAAGAGTCACCATCCTTATGGTAAGCGTCCAAAAAGTTCAACGCTGCAGCCATTCGCTGATTTTTGTGGTCCTCTGTCAAGATTTTTGGAATCCATCTTGCACAAAACTTGTGGTAACCAAGCTTTTCGCTGATGATTTCGTGCAACAAACTTCGCGAAATTTGTGGAAAACTCAAAGAAAGTTCCGTTATTGTGAAATTTCGATTTTCACGGACTTTAGCATCGACTTTTTCGAGAAGTTCGGCGGTCACTATGCTGGGTCTCCCACTTCGATCTTCGTCGTGAACATTGGTTCGGCCATTTTGAAATCTTATGACCCACTGACGCACTCCACCTTCAGTGATAATGTTGTCCCCATACACTTCACGAAGCTGCCGATAGATTTCTATCGGTTTACAGTTTTTTGCAGTCAGAAACCTTATTACTGAGCGCACCTCGCAGCTCGCGGGATTTTCAATTAACGCAGACATTTCAAACCGTCACAGTATCTGAACGGAGCACAGCACGAACCTCTCACTAGCACGGCTAGATGCAGACTGAGCTGCGCAACGCTCTGACCCCAAGATGGCCGCGCTAGCCCCGCCCCTAGCGGACACAGACGGAAACGTAATCTACTTCCTGGATGGCCCTCGTATTATTGCCTTTTCTTGAATATTATCAAAGCGATAAACCACTTATTCCCTTTTTTGCTGACGATATCTTAAAACTTGTAAATGATTGCCTTCAGCACTTTAAAATTTTGAAACTGGAATATTAAAAAAAAACTAAAGCGGAAAATCTTTATAAATTTAATTTTAATGATGAAATTTGTAATAATGATAAAAGTAAAGTTTATTTGGGATTCATTGCTGACCAGTTAATGAATTATAAATGCCGCAAGAAGGACATTTCGCAAGCTGAAAGTTACATGGACAGGCCTCTGTGGAAAGGGGCTTCTCTGTAAAATAAAGCAATTGAAATTGAAAATTTAAGTGACTCATTAAGTGACTGCCAACTTTCCTGGTTCAATGGTAATCAACATAATAATATATAAGTACTAGAATTTTTAATGAAACTAAGAGCATCTTTGTTTTAGTAAATTCAAAATTTTAATGAAACAAAGAGCAGAGAGATAACATTGAGCTTCTTCCTTACCCCCCACATTTTGCTTTTCTTAAGGTTATAAATACGTAGCGTATTCGGAAACTAAGTACCGTTTCATTCTACTGCCGTCGCAGCGCTGTGGTAGGCGTCCCCGCGCATGCGCACTAGTCTTTCTTGTTTACTGACTTTCAATTGTCGCCATTTTGGTTGCTCTATGTTGTGTTTTCAGTTTGCTGTGCACACTCAAAATGTTTTAAGACAATTAGTTCTCCCGCTGACTGTGAGATTCGTGCCGTTATTAAATTTTTGAATGCGAGGAATGTTAAACTGGCCGAAATTTATCGTCAAGTAACAGAAGTTTACGGTGAATACGCGATAAGTGATGGAATGGTGAGAAAGTGGGTAAGAATGTTTAATGCAGGTCAAACAAATGTCCACGCCGAGGCTCGAAGTGGTCGGCCTTCTGTTGTCACCGATGATTTGGTAAGGAAAGTTGATGAAGCAATTCATGAGAACAACGCTTCACAATGACAAATCTTTCAGAGGCATTTCCACAAATTTCACATACTGTTTTGTTCGAAATGTGTCTGACCGCTTGAATTACGCAAATGTGTTCTCCGTGGTTACAAAATTGCTCACTGATGTTCACAAAACAAAGGACTTGGTGTGCCCTGACATTTCTCACGCGGTACAGTGATGAGGGAGAAACTTTTTAAAAAATTGTGACAGGTATGAAACTTGGGTGTGTCATTCACACCAGAATCCAAAACAACAATCATGGAGTGGAGACACTCTTCTCCGAAAAAACAAAAGTTCAAAGTGGCAATGTCAACACAAAAAATCATGTGCACTGTCTTCTGGGATAGGAAAGGCGTTTTGCTTACTGAATTTCTTCCCGAGGTGAAACCATTAATGCGGCACGATATTGTGAGACTTTAACAAATAAGGCATGCCATTTAAACAAACGAAGAGGAATGCTCAGTAAAGGAATTGGTTGCTCCATGACAATGCTCGGTCCCATACTGCTGGTGTCACTCAATCGTTAATTCACAGTTTCATTGGGAGCAGTTGGATCACCCGCCATACAGCCCGGACTTGCGCCGTCCGACTACACTTGTTCCTGCACATGAAACGCGAGCTTTGGTGGCAAGCGCTTTGGATCTGACGATGACACGAAAATGCTGTGGAGCGTGGTTATCAAACTGGCGGGAAGTTTCTTTGACGATGGTATAAAAAAACTGGTCACCCGCTATGACAAGTGTTTGATCATGGGCGGAAACTATGTTGACAAATAGGTTTAAGACATGTATTTTCATGTAAAAATAAAATTGGATTAAAAAAAAAAAAATGTTTTACTTTTTTTTTTTTTTTTTTTCAAAAACTGTACTTAGTTTTCGAATATGCCTCGTATTTCATTATTTTCCAAATAACGTTTCATATTTTTTATTTTATAATTTCTATATGTAATGTTACTAAATTTAAATTGATTGTGAACTTTTCAGAATCAGCAAAGTCAATTTCTTTTATGTAAGAATACGTGTTATTAACATACTAAGTAAGTGAAATTTCAGTATTTAAGTTGCGTATTAAATAATTAAATATATAGGTAGATAAACTAAATAATTAAACATTTAGGCTTCTTTAACAACTATAGTTAATTGGGTTAATTTTTTTTTCCTTCCATATTTGTCAGTCATGTAATTAATTTAGTAGTTTTATGTTGCATTCATCTATCACATTTACATTTCAATGCCATGAAATATCCTAAAGAGACGAAACAAAAGCAAATCTAAGTTTAACTACTTTTCTTTTCTTCTCAGACCTAGTACCTTTCTGTAGCATAACTTGATACAAAATATTTTTGATGGATGGGCACCTTTAATATGAGTATTAACATTATCCTGAAACCTACTTTTTTGCATAAGAATTACCTGCTCTTCAAAAAAGTTTCATAGGTGTATTGGCATTTGATATGTAATAGATTAAAGTAGTAAAATTACTAGTGACATTCAGCTGATTTATAGTGGTTCTGTCAAACAAATTCCTAGTTAGGACAGTAGTTAAAATTTAATTATAGCATTTATTAAAGCAGTTTATTGCGATATAGCTGTTAACTGTTTTGCTTATTTAAGCAATAAATTGGTTGTTAAAAGTTAACTTACCACCAAATCAAGTATCAAAATTGAGAAGTTTTCAAGCTCCAGCTTCATGGAGGCTATTCAAAAGAATGGATTACATAATAAGCTACCAAAGAATTGATCATCCAGTTTCTGATGTAGTTCAGTGTTAAGTGATAAACTGAATCATAAGATTGTTAGTGAGAATGTACATAATTATAAGTTATATATACAATATTATAAGTTAAATACTGTAGTTATCTTTAAAAGACCAAACTATTTTAATAATTTTGTATTTCTGGTATCTTTGTAGGCTCAGGAAGATGTTTCCAAACATTTGGCTCTCATGAAAACTATGTTATATGGAAGTAGTGATCAAGAACCTAATTCTGATATTGCTGTGGCTCAGTTAGCACAAGAATTATATAACTGCAACATGTTATTACTTCTAGTTCAGAATCTGCCCCGAATAGATTTTGAGGTAAGAAATTTGAAATCCATGTTTAACAGTGCATGATTTTAATGAGAATTTTATATAATTAAAATCTTGCATCTAATAAACACTTTAATATTATCTTTGTATTAATAAGGAGAAGAATTTTTAGACATAAATATGGCATATGCGTGTTAAGATAATATTGAAAACGTTTGCCAGATATTTTTGACCACAGGAACATGCTATTTAATATCGATTAGTAATAGAAATATTAAATTTTTTTGCATAAGTAATTTTGTGTTCGAATGAACAATTTAATTTTAATATTTAAAAATTTTAATATTTCTATTACTAATCGATATTAATAGTATTTTTAAATGAGACAAATTTCATAATCAGTTCACTTGTTATCAGTTCCATCCTCTCAAAGTAGTTTAAGTAAATTTAATGATTCTTCATTTCTAAACTTTAGTTAATTGTCATATGTATAATGATATTATGAGTGAGTAAATGGAAACAAAGTATGTGTACCTAATCAGTTTTATGGATTAATAAGTATCATCCAATGCCTGCAGCTATCCAAGATCATCCCAATTTTGACTAGAGCAGTATCCTCAAATTCCACTTCATGTGCCAGAAGTCACAAGAATATTTTTATACTGATATATTTTACACATTTTGCATAGCTGCAACAATCATAAACTTCCAAGTCTTACCTGGAAGTTGAATTCAGGCCTCTTGGTTGACTCGATGCTACTTTGGTAGACGGTTGCACGGATTTTGGCGAGCGATACGACTTATGGTAAACTCATTGCTGGACAAGTTATTATGGTAAACCGATACTTTGTTGTCATTTTATTTAAAAAATAATGCATTTATTATGCATAAATTAAGTGTTTTAAATATTATTTATGGCTTCTAAATATTTAAAAATCAATTAAATTTTGCATTTTTATTTGAAATAAAAATTTTGTTGTTTGATATTTTATACAATTTTATGTTGTGGATGGTATTCAATGACGTCACCTTACTTAAAAAGTAATTGGTTTTATTAATATCTATATAAATTTAATCTAATGTTTTAAACATTATTTATGGCTGTTAAATATTAAAATACAATTTAATTTTGCATTTGTTTTGAAAAATGATTTTATTATGAAAAATTATTTATACAATTTAATTCTATGCGTGATGTAATCAGCCCCCTAATTGCTTACTGAATATTTGTGCATTACCGCGCCATTTTAAAATTTTATTATTCATCTCTTCAAATTTCTCAGATTTCAAATGGAATGGAAATGTCCATTTCAAAGATGAATATTCTTATTGGTAATTACCAAGAATTATTGGTATCGGAATAAAAAAATTGCCCTTTGAGACCTTATTTTGGCCAACCTGGCTTTCCTAATCAAAGATTTACTTATAAATTGTTACAAGCGTCAAAGAAAATTGATTTTAAATTTTTGGAGGAAACCTCGCTAATTGCTTCTTCAATGAAGTGTGAGAGATGTGGATCACAGATGAAGATCGTTAAAAGAGCCGTTTCTGAGGACGGCCATGTACGGTATTGTGGTCACGATGGAAGAAATAACCGCTGTAACGTTAAAAAAGTATTAGGCATTTCTCCTTTTTTACCGACCAATTTTTTCATTAATATCTAAATTATGATTCCGATTTTATTTGTGGTACTTATCAATATACGACTGGTAAAATACTAAAAAAATGTAAGTACATATTTTTCTTTTCCTACAGAAAGGTATTGTATACTTCAATTTTTATTAAAAAATTAATACACTGTTTTAGAAAATTGCTGAGATATTTATTGCCACATATGTTTTAATGTTAAATAATTAAATCCTATAAAGCTTATTTTAAAGTATTTGAATTTAAGTAATATTTTAATTCTTTTAAACGTTGGTATGATGTTTTTAATTCGATATTCAATTTAAGTAGTATTTTAATCCAATTAAATGTTGGTGCAATGTTTTTATAGTGGTGTTTTTATTCTATTATATGAAAGTAATAATTTAACTTTAGTGTTTTATACTCTTAGTAAATGTATTTATTTACATATGCCAACCATCTTAAAAAGCAACGTTTTCAACAAAAATTAATCCATTATTTTTAATGATATTTAGTTGTTTAAAGTTCGAATACTTTACTATATGCGTAAAATACGTAAAATCAGCATTTTTTCAAGATGGCTGACGACTGTAAAAACCACGCCAATGTAAATCGCCAAAAATCTGTGCAACCTTCTACCAAAGTAGCCCCGTTGACTCTTAACTTCAACTGTGGAAGGCAGCATATTATCAAAATATGAGTTTTGAAAATTTCACAATCTTGAGAGTACAATCAATCATTTTTTAATTCCCCTTTAAAAATCATTTGTTTTAAAGTATCTTAGATATTAAATATACAAGTAGCACTGCTTTGGGCTTCATTTATTATGTTTGGCTATTATAACAAGATTAGACCAAAAAGTAAGGTGACTAATGTCATAATAAAAACTGTATTATATATTTACATATAAATACATCACTGTCCTTCAAAGTAGTTCCTGCCGTCTACAATACACTTCTGACAACATTCATACAAGTTCTGGAAACTTTTGAGAAATTCATCCTTTGAGACTATGCTAAGTTCCTTGGTAACAGCAGTTTGAATGTCTGAGATGCTAGGAGTTAATTCCTTGAAGAAAAAAAAAGACTTTGTCATAGCCCTGTAATTATTCTAAGTGGCATCTTTCACATCCTCATTATAACATAAATCATATAAGTATTGCATCAGTTTATTTTATTTTATTTTATTATTATTATCATTATTATTATTATTATTATTATTATTATTTTTTTTGAAAAGTTATTTGGAACCAGATTTTATTAGTTCTACATATGAAGAAAAATTGAATAACAATTTGGGAAATGTGACTTCGTGTATGAATTCCTTATCAACATATTCCTGCTGAGTTTGTCATGGATTTTATCAGATTAGTTCTGTATATTTTTCCACTATGCCAAAGAAGATGTGCTTTTCCTTATTCTGAAAATTTTATTACTTTTTTACTCTCAAAAGGGATGCCAACAGTTGCAGAAAACCTGTTTTGTTGTCCTTTACCAAGAATTTTTCAAAGAAAAGGCATCATTCATTATAGAAAATTATGTTTCAGCAACCAACGAGATGAAATTATGCTTTAGCGATAACTTGGTAGCAAAATAGCCATTCAGTTATGTTTAGCAATTTTTATATAAATTATAATAATGATCTGAAATAATTATTTACTCTTATGTTTCTATTCAGTCATGTTTAGCCTTTTTTTATATAAATTATAATAATAAAAAGTATTATATTAAATTAACCTTTCATCTAAATTAAAACATCAATCTTAGATAGTTATTTACTGTTATGCTTCCTTTCTTGTGTTAGGGTTCCCGCAATAATTTTTCGCAGCACTAGCATCAACAATAGTTTGGCAATTTTTTATGGCCCTCAAAACCGAACAGTACCGAAAGTTTTATACTCATTATGAAAAAAAGTATGCTGTGCTTAATTTTGTTCGTCGTATGAAAATATTATTTTTTCATTCATTAATTATGATGTAAAACAGTGGTTCCAAACTTTTGAGGAATGCAACCTCATTTTAGGTGTTCGGGCCATATTGCACCTCCAGATTCTCAAGAACATATATTTTATAATTTGTCTTGATATGTATGATGCAGTTTTTAGCAGCCATGTAACCTCCCTCGCCCCCCCCCCCCCCGAATTTTTCGAAATCCCTAATTAAGACTGGTGTAAAAAAATATGATGTTAGTACCATGACTTCCTTGGACACCTGCTTAATTATACATGTTTTTCTGGGGGGCACTTCATTTGAACTTATTACCTCAAATTTTTAAAACTTAATTAAGTGACCCCTCAGAGCAAGTTGAAAATGCCATAAAAAAGGGCAAATTTTGAAATAAAATATATTGGTCAGTTTCTGTCTTGTGGTAGTCAAACTTCTTATATATATGTATTTATATATATATTCAGAACAGTATAAAACTTTAGTAAATATAAGTATAGGAACCAGGATATCACATTAAAAGTTAGATGTCATTATTTATCTAAAATTAATTTTTATTTTTGTAAATTTGACAGTGCCAAAGCTTGACAGTTCTAAAAATATTAGGTCATTTATTTGCTGCACTTAATTTAAACTTAATTTCTCAAATTATTTTAACTTAATTAAATGATTCCTCAAGGCAAGTTGAAAATAACATCAAAAATTGCAAATTTTGAAGTTAAATATCCTGATGAACTTTTCTTATATGAGAGCCAAACATGTTACAGTTTTATTTTTTCATAATGAGTATAAAACTTTCGGTACTGTTCGGTTTTGAGGGCCATAAAAAATCGCCAAACTATTGTTGATGCCAGTGCTGCCAAAAATAATTGAAGCAACCCTAACGCAAGAAAGGAAGTATAATAGCAAATAACTGTCTAAGATTGATGTTTTAATTTAGATGAAAGGTTAATTTCATATAATACTTTTTTATTATTATAATTTATGTAAAAAAGGCTAAACATGACTGAATGGAAACATAAGAGTAAATAATTATTTCAGATCATTATTATAATTTATATATTTTCATTATTATAATTTACATAACAATTGCTAAACATAACTGAATGGATGCCTGCCTCGCTATTTCACTACCGAGTTATAATTTCATCTCACTGGTTGCTCAAACATAATTTTCTATAATGAATGATGCCTTTTCTTTGAAAAATTCTCTTTAAAGTGCAGAATCGCAACTTATTTGTTTGCCACTTTTTACAAGGGTAAAAGGAATTGGAATTTTGTCAATTTCCTTTTACTTTTTAAGTGAAAATAGGTCGATGTGTACATAGATAAAGTCAAGGGTGTGCGCAGTGCCATTTTTGTGCAATTCTGTTTTTTTTTTTTTTTTTCATGAAAACAGGTCGATGTATACATGGATACTGAGTATGTGCAATTCTTAAAAACATGTCAAGCAGTGGGTGATTCTGCACTTTACCCAAAGTTCTCTTGCACACTTTTCGTCATGGGCAATTCCCAAATTGTTAAATCCATAGGATATCAAAAAAGAATTTAAAATCAAAAAAGGATTTAAAAAATTAAACTAGTATTTCAATGGCATCTTAAGAAATATAGAGCTATATAAACATACGCAATCTGAAATCGGCCGGTACACTAGATTTGGCGCGCTGTTAAATGGGCGTGTTTGCTGGATTTGGCACTTTTTTGCATACATTTTTGCTGCAATTTTTTTACGGTCCCCAAAACGGAGTAGTACCAAATTTTTCCAAAAATAAGCATATAATTTGGAAAATTGCATTAAAAGATAGATTTTGTTATTTGTCAAAAATTCATTTCTTTTTAAATTCGACACTGCCAAAACATGAATATTTTTGTCATTTAAAACGCTTCTATAATTGTATGAGTATGATTACGAGAATGAAAGTCAGCGAAAGATATATATACATAATTATGACTACTTTAAAAAGCAAAAAGTTATAGATTATTATTAGAAAAGGTTTTTAAATATCATCTCCAAGGAAACGAAATTTAATTAAAGCTATAAATTGTTAGAAAATATTTGAGTAAATAATTGAAGTAGCTTTATCATTGAAGTAGATGGCAATTGAAGTAGCTAAGGCAGTATTCAAAGTTATTTATGTTACTATTGTAGTAAAAATTATGTAATATCTGTATAAAAACTCTTTTAACTGTGTATTCCAAATATTAAAATCAAAATACTGAGTACTGAGAAAGTAGCTTTTGTCATTGATCGCAGATTAATTGACATGATATATATATATATACACACACACACACACACACATATATATATTTATATATATATATATATATTATACATGCACACACACACACACAAACATATATATGTGTGTGTGTGTGTGTGTATCCACCCCTTACGTGGCGTTATATATATTCGGTTTACTGGAACGTTCTGTCCGTTTCTATGACAACGATTTTCGACATAGAAGCACATGTTTGCCGCATGTTCAATTCTCTATTGCTTAATGTATATGTACTGATGTACCAAATTGACTAAAACAAAGTTGATTCGAGTTCAGTCTTAAGTGTGAAATGATAGTGTAACTATGGCTACTGATAAAGTTCATTTACGCCACTGTATTTTATATGAATTTCAACAAGAAAGAAATGCTACAGACCCATGTAGAAACTTATTGAAAGTGTTTGATGAAAGTAAGGTACAGTTCCTGGTAGGACATGCAGAAGATGGTTAAAAAAATTTGAAAGTGGGGATTTTGACCTTTCTGATAAGCCACATTCTGGGCGACCATATTTGATCGACAATGATATTGTTAAAAACATGCTGAAGCAAGATCTTTTTTTGACAACATCGGAGATTTCAGTTCAGCAGATCATATTTGAAAGATAGGATTGATGTGGAAATATTCAAGATGGGCGCCAGGGAATTTGGTCAGAAGAACAGAGTTACGAACTCTCCCGATTTCGGACCTTTCTCCCACCAACCCGATTTTCAATGGATTTCTGCTAACCTTTTTCTTATTCTTAAAATTGCTCACGATTTTTATGTATCTTGTCTTAATACTTCGTTCTTAACACCAAAAAAAAAAAGTGATTCTGGGCATCACTTGGTTTTTCTCTAGATTACATCTAAAGGAAAACCAAACTTGTTTCGTCAGTGAGAAATTATGTAGCGTTTCTGCTTTGTGAGTGAGACCACATGTGTTCAAAAACGTTGTGTTCGGGTTCTCCAATCAGCATCGAGCACCAGTGCGTATCATCTGGCATATTTTAGTCAGTGAGCACAAACCAAGATCAAGACTGTTATTTCGTTCAGCTTGTTGTTCACTGGTGTGAGTGCACATGCTTTCGAGAAATAATTTAAGAAATTACAATCTTTTGTGTTAATTGTGTTTGCGAAAAAGGTAAAATACTTATGTACTTTTCAAAAATCGTACACAGATAACTTGCACACTTCTATTATTTCCTCAAGGAAATGTAATACATTTGTGATGTATACTGTTTGTCAATGTGATTTTTCGATTTGGTATGGTGGAAGGGCCAATTTTCTCAAACACGTGCATACACAAAAACTCAAGGACAACATGAATTCTATTGAAAAAAACAAAAAATTAGATTTTACTGTGGAAACAAAAGACCAAAAAGTTATTAATGCTGAATGCTTGTTCTCTGCCTTTTTACTTGAGTACAACTTGCCACTGAATGCATTGGATCATGCTGCAGCTTTATTTAGAAAATATTTTCCTGATAGTGAAATCACTAAGAAATATTCAAGTGCAAGGAGCAAAATGGCTGGAATTGTTAATGTCGACCAGTTCGTAGTTTTAATACGTGTTTATCCTACTACCTCAGGAAATGGATCGCAAATGACGACTTCCAGACGAATCACTGTTCATGGTTACCTTCCGTTCAGCGCCATTCACCGCAAGGTAATTCAGGAGGAATCTTCCAGAACGTAAGGAATTACATGCAGTGCCATTGTCAGGACTGCCAGACGACTTCTGGTTGTAATTTCAAAAACCTATTGTAGTACAACCTTTCAGTAAAATGTTTTCTCTCCCATTAATGTTTTGCTGTTTCTGTTCTTTTTCTTCGCTTCTTTGCACCATAGCTCGCAACTACAGAGCATTTGTGACCCTGCATTCCTCCTATGTGATTCCAGGTCGTCTTTGTACCCCCTACTGACTCTGCAAGTTTGTCAGTCTGGTAGCGAATCACCCTGTATATAATATATATATATATATATATATGCACATGCATGTTTGGTATGGCTGATTGCAGTATTAATTGGAGATGCACATAGCAATCCCATATAAAAAATTTCAACATTATACAGCTAATTGTTGAGTTATGCAAGATATATACATAACAGATGTCATGGGAAAAAAAAAATTCCTTTTGCATCTATTTTACAAATTCATTTTGGAAAAAAAAGTCTTTTATACTATCCGTACATAGAGACATCAAAAAGTCTTCCAAATGGATTCAGGAGCAATCAGAAAGGATATTTTCATTTGAATATGATGCCCGAAATTTTTCACAGTTAAGAATTTAAGATAATTTTGTTTTTATCCAGATGAGAACAAAGCAAAATTACTTTGAAATTAGAAGTTATTGTTGCTTGCATACGGGTTTGTTGTGAATTGAATGCACAAGTGGGATGAAGAATGAACAAAATTTATTATTATCACAACAATTAAAACAGAATGCCTAAATTTCCTCAGATATTCATACAGAATTACAATATCTCACAGCAGTTATCTTTTAACTACTCAGATGTTCAGCAGAACTTAATTCAAAACAGCTAGAGAAAGCTAATCTGCTACACACAACAAGAGCAGTTTCCTAAACAAACTCTTAAAACAACTAAGTGAATAATGAATTGGGAGGTTTTTATGCTGCTTATATAAGCTTTTTAAATGCGTGAGAATTTTCTGGTATTTTCTTGAAATCAAAAAGAGATATTTATTTATTAAATGTTAAATGCACGTGCTCTTGTATTTTTAATTTTCTGGCTTAGCTTTCCCTTAATATTTGTCACGCACTGCAATGTATGGGGAATAAAACAATTTAATTTATAATTCTACTAACATTTAAATACCAAATCCGTAACAGTATTTTATTTTTAATAGCGAGTTACACTGCATATGTAGGTCGTTATATATATATATATATATATATATATATATAAGTCTGCTAATTTATACATGTTGTGTACTTTTAGGGGAAGAAAGATGTTGTCCAAATTTTTAGCAATATTCTGAGAAGACAGATTGGAACTAGATTACCAACTGTTGAGTACATATGTACAAAGCCTGAAATTCTTTTCACTTTAATGAAAGGGTATGATATATTTGCATTCTATAAATATAAATCATAAAATAATGTATCTAATTGAACAGAATATTTTCTTTTTAATTTTCAATATAATAATAAAATGAATAGGTGGAGTTTATTTAACTGTTTTTATATGTGAGAATTAAAATTTTTAGTGTAGGGTTTTGACTTCCTGATACTACTTATAAGTTAATGGCTATTTGGAAAAGGTGAAGACACTTCAAAATTTGAAGGGGTTGTTTGGCTTGATATTTTTTTAGCTGCAGAATAGTATGTAAATGGAAAGAAAAATCTGGTCCTTGAATGTCTGCTTAATTGTTTTATTGCTATTGGTACCTATTTATTTTCATCTGGAATAATTTAAATGTTGGTGTACAGAGCTTTAGGTATTAGGTTTTTGTGATATTATATCATTTATTGTTATTGTTATTATTACATAATAATCTAAGTAAAGAAAAGAAAGCAAAGACTGGAGACAAATAATTAGATCAATACATTTTATTTAATTTTGGAGGTTCACAGGTAGATTTAGAATATAGTATTAATACAAAAAATGCATTTTTTTCTTCGCTCAGTTTTAAGATAGAACATGTGTCGCATTTGCCTTCCCCTCTTGCAGACTACCATGATAGCATATTAAATTCTGCCTGTGATAAAGGCAAATTCAGAAATACGTATTTAAGTAGAATATTTTTTATTGCCTAATATAACTATTCATGGTAAAGAGAGAAATGAGAATTATTAATAATTCTTTTTCTTAAATCTTAATGTTTAAAGAGTTCACCATCTAAAGAAGGCTGTTTATTCTTCCTTACTTAAAATTTTATGCTATTCATACAAAGTGTATTATTTCGTGTAAATTTTCTTTTCAAATTACATTATTGTTAACCTTGAAAGTTATAGCTTTGATAATGTGTGGTGCATGTTTGCTTGTTTATGTCTGGATACATATATAAAGATGCATTAAAATCATTTGAGTATTTTAATTTGATAAGGATTTTGTTTAAAATTTATCTAAACTTTCTTTAAAATATTGTGCTCTCTTATGAGTTTAAAGCGACTATACTTTGAAAAATTGTATCGTTTGTTACGTATATGTGATTATACTGGAATCCTATTAGAAATTGTTCACATTTGAAGGGATAAAAGAATCACATGCTTACATCATTATAGAATAATTAAATTCATCTGTAACTTTTGAGCCTGGTACTTTTAAATAACATTAGTTCTGAGAGGAGATGGAGAATTTGTTAGAATGGTGGCTGTTGCAATATACTTTCAGAACGAAGAATATTTTTCTAATTTTTATAAATTTTAAATATTAATTTATATGTAAGTTAAATGCTACTTGTTTTTGCTGTCATATTTTTAGTAAACAAATAAAAGTACAAATATTAATTATTATATTTATTTTTTTTTAGCTATGAAAAGCAAGATATTGCTCTAAATTGTGGCACAATGCTAAGGGAGTGCATTCATTATGAAGCATTAGCTAAAATTATATTGTACTCTGATGAGTTTTATAATTTCTTTAGATATGTTGAAGTATCTACTTTTGATATTGCGTCCGATGCCTTCTCCACATTTAAGGCAAGATTTTTATTCTTTATTTGTGTAATATTTGTGTATTATTATTGCCTAGAGATAATTTTTTTAATAATATGTGGGCATTTTATAATGTGGAAAGAAACTGGGAAGTAGTTATGAGATTTTTCAGTTTTAATTTTCAAAGGATGGCTTTTAAAGTAAAAACTTTATGCTACAGAAAAGAGATCTGTTTAATATCTTAATGTCATCAAAGTTGTAGTATTTTTAAACTGGCTTTCAAATTTTAATACATTGCATAACAGTGTATCAGATTTAGTCACTAAGCTGTACAATTTAGCACCCATATGAAGAAGCATTATATTACAGTACATTAATAACATCTGAACTTTCATTTGATGTAACTCTGGTTGATTCTCAGTAAGCTGCCTGTTTTTTTAATGAATAATGATATACTAAATTAACTATTATTGCTTTTTCTCTTTGCATTCTGGGAAAAAAAATTAACAAAATTTACGACCTGCCTTCAATATAACAGCAAACAGTTGATTATTTTCAAAGTTGCGGAATCCTGCTATCAAAAATATGTCTGTGTTAATAATGGACACAATATTATACTTTGTTGGATACGTTAAAAGGATAAACAATGTTGGAAAGCAGATAAACAATGGTAATGTAACATAAAAAATTGTGACAAGAAAATATCTGTTCAAAAAGGAATGTGATTTGAGAGCTATAGAATCAAATTTGTGACTGTAATCTGATTCATTTACAGCTAAAAACTCAACTATCCGGCATTCAACTAGCTAAAAAGCTGAAACAGAAAATTTTTAAATTTCAGTCCCCTCCCTTTTTCTTTTAAATATCCTTTTTGAAAAATTAAGCCAATGGGGCACTTTTAAAGTCATTATAAGGTGTACATACAGCACTTTCTCAAAACCCCACTGTAAACTTCTAAGATGTGGATAAAATTATATGGTTCTCTTTCAGAAGACATTGCTTACACCGCTTTACCATTGTATCCATCCTATTTTTCTAAGAATTCATCTTTGAAATAGGCTATATACTGCTGAACAATTGCTAAGGATGGATCTCACATTGATAGGTAACATAACATTAAGCTGGAGTAAAGGCTAAACAGGATAAAATATCGTTGCTACACTGTTTGGGCATTAGAATAAAGAATATTTATTGTTCAGGAAAATTTGAAAATGTTTTCCAAAAGTATAAGATAAGTGTTCTTTTGATTCTATGTATGGAGAAATGGGAAAATGCATACATATGACAGCAGTCACCTTTAAGAAAAATGTTAGTATGGGTATGCCCACCATGGAGTGCAATGTAACTTTCTTCCTGTCACGTCGTTCTTTGCATAATATTATCCAACAGCTGTTGATGCAATTGATCCCACTTTTCTGCTGGTGCTTGGATGTGGGTGTTCTTGTTCAATGGAACACGTTTTTGACTAGCAAGTTGCCCTCCTCCCTGTGCATCCTAAATATTTTCAGTGAGATTTAGATCTGGAGAGTATGCTGGCCATTATGAGGTATGAAATATTCTCACTGTCTAAACAATCCTGAACAGTGAGTGTTCGATGAATGGTACGTTGTCCTCCATGAAACGAAAAGTATCACTAAAAGCACCATGAAAAAGGTGAACATGAGGCAGTTGAACTTTATCAATGCATTGTCATTCAGTCACAGTCCCAGTGGCAACTGCATGTAGGGATGTGCAGCCAGTGATCATGATCCAGGACCATACCAAATTACTGCATCCCAGATATTGGTCTTTTTCCAGGATATTTTCTGGACGATAAGCAATACTACTCTTATGCCAGATCAGCTGGCATCTATAATCTGATGATAGGTTGAGCCTACTTGTGCACTACTAAGAATAGTGCACAAGTCCAGTCTTTTCAGTCCAATTGCAATGTTCATTACACCATTGCAAACAGGTGGTATGGTGATGTCTGTACAATGGAATATACACAACAGATCTATGAGTGTATACTCCTCTTCCTCGCAAACATCTTGCTATATTTTTCAGATCCATTGTCCTGTGGCAGCAATAATCTTGTTCGCCACCTGCTGAACTATGGTATGGCAGTTTCATTTTGCCAGTAGAGCAATGTACTTCTCTTTTGAAAACGTCATACATTTAACACAGTATCTTTTGTAATGCATATTCCAGTTGTTTTAAATGCCCTGCTGAGCCATAAAATAACAATATGGGTAATGTGAAACTCCTTGGCGACATCTGTTATGTTTTGCCATTCTTCACTCTTTCAAGTGACATGGCTGAACATGAAATCATTTAAGTGTTATCAGGAAGATGTACGAGTACTTCCAAGATCATTAATTAAATCTTTCCTGTAAATCTTTTACTTGATACAACTGCCAGTGCGTGGCAGATCCTTTAAATCTTTTATCAACACTGTCACAAGATAAAAAGGTCAAGAAATGAAAATTTGCATATGCTCATCTCTTCTTACTGTATCCTGCTTTTGCTCTAATTTTTCGCATTTTGTTTCCTTTTATTTTGGGGTTGTGATAGTTGATAATGTTATCAGTACTTAGCAATTGTCCAGCAGCATATATCATTGGAAGAAAAATGGGGAGTTACTGTCATGGCACTGGATGCAATGAGAGATTACAAAGTTCAAAGAGGCATTTATGTTGTCTGTTAAGATTATTACTGTCACCAGTATGTTTAACAGGGGTAGTTGTCACAGTAATAAACCTTTTCAGTTCTGTTGATACATCTCAAGTGTGAGACAACCAAACTCATTTTGCGCATATTAATATCAATCCTCTTATGAGTATGGGATTTCATTAAAAAAGCCCAGTTCTCAAAACTGCCCCGAGAAAGAGGTATTTTCTTGATTTTAATGCCAAAACATGTTTGCTACTTTATTCTTGGATTTATGGACTTTTAATGTATTGCCTTAATTTCTTGTACATTTTAAGGTGCACCTATATTAACTTCCTTAAAAATGTCACAAAAAATATTTTAAGCTATATATATGGCCTTGATGGTTAGAGGGTTAAAGGAAAATAATGACTAAGCTTGTTTTCTGCAGATTGTTATTAAAACGCGATAGACGACAAACTTGTTTTTTATGAATTATCAGTGGATTATTGTTATTTGTGGATTTTTTGGTGACAAAGCAGTTCTGATTCAAACCCAGATTGAGGTGAGTCTGATTCTGAAGAAGAATGGTCATCTGTAGACAACCTACCAATCTTGGAAGAGTTTTTAGGCTGCTCAGGAATAGATACAGAAAAATATTCTGGGTACTGTAGCATATGCAGTGCATATGTTACAGTAAAATATCAAATTTATCAACGAAGACACCGCAGAAGAGGTGAATATAAGGCAGTAAAACTGCAATGTGTTGTTGGCCATTTTGCAAGCACGTATAGTCATTGCAGTCATTGATCATGATGCCAGCCCATACCATGGTATTGCGTCTCAGATATTGGTTTCTTTCCTGGATATTGTCTGTATGATAAGCAGTACCGTTGTCATGCTGGATCAGTAGGTGTTTGCAGTCCGATGACATACTAAACCTACTATCATCTGAGAATAGCATGCAAACCCAGTTCTATTCAGTCCAATTGTGATGCTCATGACACTTTTGCAAATGATGACCTGGTGCTGTCCGGACAACAGGACATTCACAGCGAGTCTGTGGGCAGATAATCCTCTTCCTCCCAAATGTTTGGCTTCAACGTTTTAGGAAATCCACTATCCTGTAGCATCAAGAAACTCATTTGCCACCAGCTGAGCTGTAATTCACCAGTTTATTTACTGATGGGCAGCGTACCTGTCTCCTGCAGGCATACATTAACACTATATACCATTAGCATCCAGTATTAGAAGAAAAGTAACAAATTGTGATTCTCCAGGCAGACTTTTCATAAACATAAGGAAACATACATTAGAACCCATTCTTGGGACTAGAAAAGAAGAAAAATTTGGGATAATGGTGTTTGTGCTCTGTCAAGAAAATATGCAGTGTAATGCAATATGTGTGTAATATTGAAGTGTATTCTTGCACAAAGGAAAATGCTTTGAAAGATATTGCTGTTTAAAACAGTATTAAGTTTTGATTTTTGAAAAAGTATTTGTATTGTTTTAACTCTTTAACAGACAATGGTTTCACATCGAAGCAAAAATAATTTTGCATGTTAACTTCAAAAAATTTCATTGTGAGAGTTTGGCAAGAAAAGACACTTTAGACCCATTTAAGATTGTTAATTGCATTTTAGGCAAAAGTCTTACAGTTATTTAAACAATTTGGCATTTAGCTTGTTCTTCCTTCAGTTATTTTCAAGAAACAGAAACTGTGGCCAAATAGTATGATTTAGCATCATTAATGTATTAAATATAATATCATGATACAATCATAGGGCCTTTGCCTTTGTTTTATGTAAACTGGATTAATTCTCAATAAGACAGTTTAGTTTTGTAAAGAAGATGTAAGTTAACTGCTAATTATTTGTTTCTTCTTGCAGTTTGGAAACAATGGGTAAATTTATTTATTTATTTATTTATTTTAATCCAAAAAGATTTGAGTCCCGAAGGACCGTAACTTTCATTTTGGCATTTTGCGTCGGACTCCTATAAATGTCAGTTCACTTTTAAAACTGTTGCCACAAAATGTTAGAGTCCTACATTATATTTGAAGAAATTGAATAATGAAAAAATCTGCGTAAATGTATGTATATTTCTCGCATTGTGGTAAAACAACAGTATCTAGAGCCATATAATTTTGAATGAAGTAATCCTACTGCAAATATGGGCATCTGAAATCCCAAATTTGAAATTTGTTTTACGATCGATTTCATATTTTGTAAAACCTTAATGAATTTTTGAGTAACAAACTAAATAATTTAAAAGCGAGCAATGGCAACACTCTACAGGGGGGGGGGAGCCTTTTTATCTCCAGCGCGTCGAACTGTGTATCGGAAATTCTAAGGATATGCTCATTTTAAAACTATTTTGCGCGACATTGAACTTAAATTTTATGGTTTCAGTGCAAAGAACATGATATTTAATAAATAAAGGTAGCACACAAAACGTTAAAAAAATGCTCCTTTGGACGAACGTAATTTAAAATCTGAAACATTTCAGTTTTTTTTTTTTTTTTTTTTTTTTTTTTTTAAAGCACGTGCGTGCAACATGGAGTATTTTTGAAGTTACAAGATTAACAATTTTTTCCTTTAACCCTTTGAAGGGCAATGGTGTAATATATACCAGATGTTAGTCAATTTTTTAAACTCTTAAAAAATGCTAATTTTTCTACACCAAAAGCTGTAATCATAAGTTTCTACTGTCTCTTTTTGATTCTAAATGGCAGCCTTACTAACAAACTAAAAAACTATATGAATGTTCAATATTGTGCAGTTATGAAATTGATTATACCTCTTTCATAGGTATCATGTTTGAACATTCATAAATTCCATTGAAGGGTAGGAAAAATTCACAATCTTAAAATATATCGCGCACACGTTTTGAACCTTTTATATTTACTGCATTTCAATCAAAACTGATAATTAAAAGAAATTTATGTATACATTTTTAATACCGGTATATAATATCTACTGGCACCCCTACTGAATGTACCTTGCCAATAGATGGCAGCACGAGGCTTCTACCTCACTACTCTGTGAGATGACGGAATTTCTTTACATTGTAATAGGTTATGATGTAATAATTTATTTATGATTAATTTACAAGTTGTTTAGGATTCAGTATTATGTTCATGGGGGTATGGGAAGTTTGCTGACCCTGTCCTGGGACTGAATACAAGTATATTAGTTACTTTTTAATCTTTGTGTATACTACTCGAGTTTCTCATTCGTCTCTGTTTAGCTATAATTTTAATTTCAGCACGCCACCCTTTCCCACGAGAAAGACTCGTCTGGCATCAAAAAACATTATGCAACTGTAGGGGTTAAATGTGACATTGTTAGCCCCCAAACACACCCGTTGTTTCGTGTTTTCCAAAACCCTAAAATGCAGCGAAAATGAAAAGAGGTGACGGACAACTAGTTTGCCATGCGGGGCTCATGCCATCTTCACAAAGGGACTATGATAACATCACACAAAGGGAAAGCTCTAAAAGTACAGGAAATTGAAATGCATTTTAGATCCATTTCTAGTGCAATGGAAAAACTGCTGATTTGAAAGCATGCTTTTATTCTTTAGGTCTATGTTAATTTCAGATGAGAGACTAAGGAATACAAGAAATTTTTTTTCCTTGGGTTAAGATACAAGTACGTGGTTTAGTCTTCACAGCTGATGAAAGAAGAGAAATATTTCTAAGGCCAATTTTAGTTGCAAAACATTTATCTTTGGAAGGGAAAAAGGGGATTTGAGTTTTTAAAGTTTTGATAGAAATAAGAGCTTTGAGGTGTATCAAGTAATAAAATCGTTTAACAGCTTTTTTTCTTGAACAAAATGATAGATTACAACCTATATTTACAAAAAATTAAAAAGGGCCCCTTACTGGGCCTGATAATCGAAAGCGTGTGGGGGGGGAGGGGGGAGGTGATTCTTGCAATCATAGCATGAAGCATACTCTTTTTATATATTATCTAAAGCAATTAATAACTTCATAAATGCAGTATAATTTTTCAGCTGAGTCGTAGTGTTTCATTTTAAATTGTTTAAAAAATTTTTCGCCCGAGTAACATTTCTTGTAAAATTATACTAGCTCAATTGCAACACGATACGGTTTCTGCATGCATATTTGCTAAAATTTTTCATAAAATAATAATATTGAATTTAAATTGCTTTTAAAATCCTTTTACCCATATTTTACCCAAGTATATTCAGCTGGGTAGCATCATCAGATTGCGCGAGAAACATAATTTATTTTATAATTTTAAATTTTTAGCAAAGTTTAAAAAGTGTTTTGCCTTGGACTACATAAATGTACTCACCCTCTCGATAGATGACATAAAAGTTTGCAAAAATAGATGGAAAACACAAATAACAATTGCCGGGATAAAATTTTCAGAGGGGCACGTATAAAATATAACTGGCCCCAAAATCCGGATTTCACTCTAATTTTTTTTAAGTCTCATTTTGTGTTCTAAAGGTCTATAGTTATATTCATTCAAATTTTACCACAATTTAAATTAATTATATACTGTCTCTCAAAAGGTTAAGATGTTTTAATTTCTTGTGTTGAAGAAGAAAAACAAACTAAAAAAATACATTTGGATTTTATGTACAAAAGGCATTTTTTTTCCTCCCCTGGCCCCTGAAATGTTACTTCTTTAAATATAGACTTTTGATATTCAAGCTGATAACAAAAAAAAAAAAAAAAGCTTTTTATAATTTTAGAACAGATTTTCCCCCCTCTATTCATGTGGCTTTTCTACTATGAATTGCATTCTATATATGCTCAACTATCTGGAAATTTCACATATCCAGAATTCATCATTTCCCAAGCGTTCTAGGTAGTCGAGTTTTTACTTTTTGAATGCCAATAAGAATTTTTGGCTGCAAGAATAACTGGCTCAGGTTTTAATGAATTGATTTGTCAGTGAATTTTAAAAGCTTGAATTAATATTTATATAGTTTTTTTTTATGTGTCAAATTTCTAATTTGTATCTGTCAATGATGTAAAGAAATTAAGGTGTGTGATTGTTTTTTAAATAAAGAGGTGTTAGTTCCTTTAGATTCTACAAGAACAATTGGTGCAGCTTTGGCAGCATTTCTGCTAACTTTTTCATGGTTCTATAGTAGCCAAATTCACTGTCAACGGGGTAATACATTAATATAAAAAATTCTAGTATTGTGTATTCTGGACAACAGCTACAGAATAATCATTAATACACTACATAACAATGATTTTCTACATTGCTGTGTTGTGAAAACTGATTAAGAAATTTATTGAGGTTTTAAACTGAAGAACAAACCATTGCTACAAAAGTTTTCATTTACCTTTACTTGTACTTTTATCTATTAAAACTTTTTTAATGTATATTGATTGTTTTTATTTGTAATCGCTTTCTTTTCAGAGAAGGGTATATGAATCCTCTATTTTGATTGCCTTTTATAATCTACTGCCTCAAGAATTTACTTCAATCAAATTGAAAATAAAAAAGAACTTATTATTCATTGTTGTTATTTGGAAATGAAAATACATTTTAATCATCTGATACTAATTGTAATGTTATAGTAATCTTTATTTTATAAATAATTTTAACTGAGATATATTTTATAGGAATTACTGACAAGGCACAAAGTCTTGTGTTCCGAATTTCTTGAACTGAATTATGATCGAGTATTCAGTCACTATCAGCACTTACTGAATTCAGAGAATTATGTCACCAAGAGGCAATCTTTGAAAGTAAGGATTTCATTATAATTAACTGCTTTAATAATGCATGTTAAAAATTAATCTAACACATCTCCCAAAGTTTATTTTCAGAGCATTAAATAAAATCATATATAATTCCAGACAATTTTAGCCTTCTGTGAAAACAATAGTGACTTAAGAGGGGGTTTGCGAAAGGGTTCATCATATGTGCTTTTTAAAGTTGAGGGATTCTGAGCTTTTAGTCATTGAAACACAGTTATACTCATATTAGTTTTGTATTTTTTAGTACACTCAAATTAAATGCTGCAGCACTTTTAAGTCCAAATAACTTTTAATTCAAAACTGAAGAGAAAAGTGTATTTATCAATCATTATTTAGAACTGCTTAAACTACATCATAATTTTATGTATTTGAAGGTGGCAAGACCCTGGAATACATTACGCAGTCATCAAAGCTTGCAGAACATCCCCTTCATTTATAAACACTCTTTCACATGACATACAGTGGTGGCCAAAATTGTGGACACTTTTGAAAATTTTTATGTTTTTGAACTTATAGGAAATGTTACGTTTCGCAAAATGCAAACTGTATATCATTTAAAGAAATTTATTACTGATTCAATACAAAACACAAAAAAAATTTAAAATTTAACTTTAATATAAATAAAAACACATTATGAATGTTGTATGTCAGCTTTCCTGGCCAATCACTGTTCTTGTTCTGAGAACCAATCAAAGTTGTACCTGCCAGTAGAAGCTAACATCGTGTTTAACTGAAACATCATTATTTTCTTTGTTCTGTAGAAGGAGGACCGTTTCTTATACACTACATTACAAGTAGATTTTTGTAAAAATTTTAATATCTTAGTCAGAGCAGACATAAATAAAAGAGTAGATTGGACACTAGAAGAGATGTAATATTTTGTGTTATGAGAAAGTGTCTTCCTATGCTGATTGCAAGACTGTGGTTCAGTGACTACATCGGAGTCCGAAAGGTGTTTACGTATCAGGAGACAAATTCAATGAAAACAAGAAGGAAAAGGCGAAAAGTGACCACATCTATTGAGACGAAGATAAACGACTATGTCTCCAAGATAGAAAATGTCATCACGGCCATCCGAAGCTTGATGAGCTGGTGTTTCTGTCAGCTCAAGACAATCAGGAAAGATACAGATGTTGACTGATGTGATCCATGAAAAAGCCTTATCTTAATTTTCAGCAACAACAACAAAAAAAAAAAAAAAAAAAAAAAAGACTGCAGTGGGCCAAGAACACATAATTGACAATGATCAGATGCACAAGTTATATGGAGTGATGAAACTAGATACGTTATTCGTAGTGATGGGCTAATTGTAACGAAATAGGAAAGCTACACCGACTCATTCAAGAACTGGAAGCGCCCATTAGTGTTATGATTTGTCATGCAGTCAGCAGTGGTATTGGTCGCCTCATGTCATCATGGGACGTGAATGCCAGAAATACATTGACCGATTCTAGAACCAAATTTCTACCTCCATCAGAGATCTCTTTCCACATCTCGTTTATTTTTTCGCAGATCTGCCCTTGCCACATGCCAAAATATCAAAGAAGTGGTTTCGTCAGAGCATTAAATTGTTGTCATGCCAGGAACAGTCCTGACCTCAATCAATCAAAATTGTGACACCATTGGAAACTCTTGTCTGATGATGCCATCAAATAAAAAGGAACTATTAGGCTATAATTGTTCCTGGCATCATGTATACGAAGAAGAGCTTAAAACTCTGTCCAGCTCGATGAAGTCGTGTGAAGCTGTATAAAAATAAGGGACCCTACAGTACTGACAACTCACCGCAATCATCACTCCTACTGTATATCGATAACTATTATCGTTTAACTTTTTTGTATTGCAAATAATTGATTTTGTGTTTTGTATGAATCATAATAAATTCTCTTTAAAAATGATATATAGAATTTGCATTTTGTGAAACGCATGTTTTCTAAGCTACAGTTCAAAAACATAAAAATTTCCAAAAGTGCCCACAATTTTGGCCACCACTGTATTTATATATAATTGTTTTATTTTAGAGTTCCTGGAAAATTATATAACATCTGTTATTATTTTCAAATATAAGTATGTAAATATGCATGTGTAGAAAACAGTATTTAAAAGTGTAGAATTGATAAACATGAATCCTTGATGAAGAACAATCTGATGTGAACGTCGCATGACTTCCTTTTTGAATTATAAGCATTCCTTCCATATTGAATTATAAGCATTTTTTGCTAATTTCATTTAAGCTTATTTCCTCAAATTTCATCAGATATATTCATTCAATTAATTCAGTTCTCACTTCGCAGCAAGGCAAAAATACATAAAACCTCAAAATGTCTTAATTAAAAATTGAAAAATATAGAAAAAAATAAAACAAATACAGTTAAAACAATTAAAAAAAAACCTGAAAGCTTTCAAATCAGATGAATTATCGTCCACCACCCTTTTAGTTTGGGCACCACTGTAGAATCATTAGGATTTTTTGATACTGTAGACATGAAAAATATGCAATGCCTTTAGCGAAACTCGACCCTGAACCTCATGAATATGTGCCGAATGTGCTACCGTTACATTCACAAAGGCTTGCATGCTGGAAGGAGGAAGAAAATATCTTATAATATACTTGATCCAAAAGATTTTGCTGGAAAATGCTGTAAACACAACATCTTTATTGTTAACCATTGAACTTGGTGTTTGAATGCCACTGCATTTTCTGTAGTTTAACAGATGTTGCACCTATAGTAAAAAATATTTTCATATTGTTTAATGAAATTTTTTAAATTGAGATTTTGTTCAAAAGTTTTTGTCTTCTTTTCTCGTATGAAGCATACTTTTTCCTTGTTTCATATTGAAAGAAATTTGATTTCAAAGCTGTATAATTTCAAAATTAGACATTGAGTTGAAGGAATGTTTGTGAACTGTGCAGTGGTGGAAATTTTTCTTTAACATACAATATAAAATTCCATTTAAATAAATTTTCTTTGTGATCTGATTGTAACTCCAAATACCAACATTTGCAAGGTCTGTCAACAAAGAATAGACATATTGAAATGCAGTCAGTTCTTCTCATTTCTTTCAAGTTTCTTTGCAGAATCTTTTTAAAAAATGATAATTAATGTTTAATATTTTTTTCAGTTTCTGTGATTTTGTCAAAATAGAATAGCAGATTATTGGTCTTAATGGGAGATTGCCACAGTTTAAATATAATTTTCAAATGTCATTGCCACAGTTTAAATATAATTTTCAAATGTCATATATTTTTTCATTTTGAGCCTAAAATTTATACAAGCTTTTTTTTTTTTTTTTTTTTTTTTTCCTTTGTGTTTATCATATTCTGCTGTTTCTGATTGTTAAGCGTAATATTCAAACGCAGGAACGGAAATTATATAAAAAAAAAAAAAAAAAAAAAAAAAAAAAACTTTTCTCAGTTCATCCTTATTGAACATTCATTTATAATTTATTTATTTAATCTGTATCTGGTTGTTTATTATTAATAATTTTATTTTAGTTATTAGGAGAACTGTTATTAGACCGTCACAATTTTACTATCATGACCAAATATATAAGTTCCCCTGAAAATTTAAAGTTAATGATGAATATGTTGAAAGAAAGGAGTCGAAACATTCAGTTTGAAGCATTTCATGTTTTCAAGGTATGTAAATGGTAAATTTTATGATTTATTTGTTTTATGTGTATTGTTTGTTGCTTTACGCAATTAATTTATTTCATGTCTTGCGAATTTGGAATTTATATAGTGATCAGGGAACTTTTCAGTTATTAATTTTCCTGTATAATAATAAAAATTTATCATTTTCTGTTATTTGATTAGGATTTGGCTGGATCAGGGAAAATTATACAAAGTGGTTATAATTAAAATAACCCACTCATATTTGTATAGGAACCCATTCTATCTAGTTTCTGCATTTCATTGAGACTTGTTATATATGTTATAGGAATGGACTAAATAGGAAAAGGAAAACTAGTAAAAAATAATAGTTAAAATTTTGACTGCCAGGCGAAATGTGGTGTATAAAGGACAAGAAACGCAAATTAGAAATCTAAAAAATTATTTAATCACTGCATTTGTTCATTGAGTATGCTATTTACATAACTCACAATAGCATATTCAGCAGTAGAGTGAAAGGTTTTTTTGAGGATTTTCCAACAGCATCACATGTTGTGCTTGCTTTTAATTCATGTAGATTCTGTATGCTTCCTCTGTAGACAAGATCTTTCAATAATCATTGCAACTAGCAGTTACAGGAATTCAAGTACACAGAATAAGGAGATTAAACATTTGATCTGGTCATCTTCAGAATGAGTACAAAGTAATTCTCTCTCTTGCCAGTCAATATAGATGTTGTAACATCTCGTAATAGCTTCTAAACATTCTCATTTTCGTAAGGCAGGAATGACTGGCTTCTTCAGAAGTTTGCGATAACTGTCACTAATAAAGGAAACTTTTCAGGGCCTTGAGGACTACACTCCTTAAAGAAAAAGGAACTAAGAACGAAGTCAGTGGTAAAACAACATCATACAGTCATGTAATCAGAATGCAGAAGTTGTTCATTCTCAGCATTAAGGACTAGTATCACATATGTGATAGTTCTGAATATTCACTGTTTCGTCTACAGCAAATTGATTTATCTGACCACAAAATGTCTCAAGGTCATGCATTGTGAATTACTGTGCTTGCCAGCAAGCCAAATTAATGCACTGATGTGGATCTTACAGCTATAGTATGTGGCTTACAGTTTACTTTTGCACTATGTGGATCATGCATGAATACCAAAATGGATTGTTGAGGTTAGGTAATTCACATGACATTACTCAGGCTTATTGAGGAATATCAGAAACCATATGTTGTCAAACTACAGCAACAGTGATTTTTTTTTTCCAGAGTTTCAATTTTAAAATAAATTTTTTTGGCATAGGTTATTTTTGCATTGTTGATATTCTCTAACTAAACAGCTCTGATAACTCAATTTTGCCAATGAAGTTAAATCTTTCTTCTTTAAAGACATGGTGAGAATTGATTTTACAATATTGACTATTGGCATTTTAAACAGTTCCAAATTTGCATAATGTTCTTTCTGTATTGTGTGAAAAGTGGCATCTAGTGGTCAGAAATTGAACTATTATTTTTTATTGCAGTTTTCTGTTTGTTGGGGTCCATATAACGTACGTACACCAAATTTCTATTAAATGTCAATGAGAATGGACTATACATAGATCTGAATAGGATCACTATAACCTCTCTGTATCTTAAAAACCTTATGAATTATGCTTCATCAAGTGATTTTTGATTTTGCATCAAACTTTAATTTTTGTGTTAAATTTTAATTAAAATGTTCATTAAAAGCATTTTAAGAATTGCAAAAATTTAAATAGCTATTGCAAAAATTTAAATAGCTATTGCAAAAATTTAAATAGCTAAAATTAAGATGTTTTTAAATTTTTTTAAAGGCAGCTTAATTTTTCCCAAAGAAAATTTGTACTGAACTGCTTTCCTATCAAATTAGGTGAACATGCAAAAAATTGAGTCGATATATTTGATTTGATAAAGAAGTAGGATGCTTGAAATGATATCAAATTTTTATTGAATTTGTTATTCTTTTCTGATTTGATAGTCTCAGCAGAGTATGGATAATATCAAATTATATTTGTGTATCTACTAACTTTCAAAAATTTTTCATGTTTCGCAGTTTTTATAGTTTCATGGTTTTATATGCTAAATTTAAAAAAAGAAAAAAAAAATGGAGAGAGAAAAGAAAAGTTCAAATTAGTGTTCTAATTGCATATTCTAGGCAGATTGCCTTTGAATAATTTTCCTTTTCAGTTGATGAAAAACTTTCTGGTTTTTGAACTTAAATTATTCTGTCTTGCATCCATTTTGGTTTATAGTTGATGAATATTTTAGTAATTTTAAGACGTATGTATTTTCTTTTTCTAAATTTGTTACAAATTTTTAATAATATAATATTTTTATAGATGTTGCAGAAAATTTCAGATTTGTCATTCTTTATAAAATTTGTTTTACTCTGTTAAATTTCCATGAACGTTCTTCCATATTTTACAGTTATTAAGTTGGTCATGCATTTATGATGAATCTGTTATTCAATTCTGATGTACTGGCATTACATTGTGGCCTAATTGATTGCAAGCTTACACTGGAATTTTTCATTAGCCTTCAGGCAAATTTATCTGTATATAGTGTTGTTGAAATGGTTCTGCATTTATAACTGAAAGACTTTTTTGCTGTAATAAAAGCACGTTACATTCTTCCAATCAGTATATTAATGGTTTCTGAGGTACTTTGGATTTTTGACATTGTTTCATTATTTCATCGAGTGATCTCGAACTGATTGCCCATGGGCTACTTGCAGCCCTCGAAACAGATTTACTTCACCTGTGAATGCAGTTCCTGTAAATTAATAAGCATTGTTATGACATTAATTAATATGTCAAGAATTTGAAGGAAGGTTTTACCAATTTGATATTTTTTCATTACCATTGAAAGCATACGTGTATAACAGCCCAGTGAATCTATAAATGGGGCTATCTAATTCACACTGTTATATAAATTTTATTCTAAGATTTAAGATAAGGATTTAATTGATTTTTTTCATACTTGTCAAAAGATAAATACCATCAGTTTAAAATTATTTTACAATACAAATTACGGTTTTGTTGAGGATATTTACATGTGAACAGTTTTTCATGCAGCTAAAAATTAATAAGTAAAAAATAAAGGAACACATTGACCAATGAGCATCTACAATTAGTGATGATGATAGTTTCTAGTAATTTTTGTTCAAGTTTACAAATGTTATTAGAGTCAAAATGATATGAGGTGTTTAATAAGAAATAAAGTTTTTGATTACTTACATGCAAATATATGTATCTTTTCTGTATGTGTAAAAATATTGTAATAAGTAAAAAACAGAGAATAGGTTATCCTTGTTTATTCTCAGTTTTTTCCCACTCTGAAAGCTTTTGCAATTTCTGTTGTTTAAATATGTTATTTTGTGGTTTATTCAGTAGATTAGAATTATATGAAATAAATGTTAGTCTGAAAGTTTAATATTTAGTTTAATCGAATTACAAATTGCAAACATCTGAAATTTCTTTCAGGTACTAATTTTTAGATTTCAGCAGAAAATAAATGTCAATCTGAATTGCTTTCCTTTTGCTCATTATTATTGTTTTGTGTGTGTGTGTGTGTTTTAATAAATACTTAGTAAATAAAATTTAAAATTTAGTTTAGTTAAAAAATTTCTTTTGTTGAAAAACAAAGTTTCCATTTTGGGTTAAAAAAAGCTCTCCAGCTTCTTTATATTGTGCATGTGGTGGCCATACACGATATCATTTTGAGATCACTGGCATCAACAGTATGCAAAGATAATGTGGGAAATGCTGCATAATCTGTTTTATGGTCTTGTTTAATCAGTAAGTAGTTCTTTTTTGCTTCTTCATTTACATTCAGTTTGTAAAGGATACTGATGAAGTAAATGATGGTAAGGTTTTACGAGAGTCCACTTTTATGTCTAAATTTACAGTTTATAATAAACCTAACAGGTTTTACATTTCCTCTTTTGTGTTACTTCATGCTGCATAATATTTGTTTAATGTCTTGATATTCAATTACTCAATAAGGGATTAATAAAGACAATTTTATTTTACACTTCTCAAATTTTCATAGAGCTGTATACCAGCCATCATCATCTCATGCCACTCACTCTTAGATCTTGTACTGTGATAGTTCTGGTTATAATCCATTCACTTGGATCCATTCACTTGTGCATTTCTGGTTATAATTCATTCTTGATGTACATCAAGTGAATGAATTATAACCAGAAGTGCACATGAAATTTTTCTAAAACAGGAAGAATGATGATGTGCATATTTATATTAATTTTAAAACACCTTTTTAATTTCATTATTATTATTTAGGGAACTAGTAAGGCAGTTTATTTATCATACTGCAAAATAGATGTCTCTGTTTTTCAGAGATCTCCGTATTTTCAATAATGATAAATTTTAGAGTGCATGTACAAGCCTTTTTAAATTAAAAAAGTGATTTGAGTAGATTTTCTGTTATATTCAGTTATTAAAGTGAAGTATGGGAACATTTAAATGTGACCCTGACATGAAATAAATGAAAACATAGAATGATTGCATATTGCAAAGCATGTTATTATTTAAAGTAAGTTCTCTTTGTTGAAATGCTTTTTCCCAAGTATCTTGGAAACTTATTTATCCCGTTTTTAAGGAATATGTTTGTTTGGTTATGTATCCACTCTCAAATAGGTATGATGGCTTTGAGTTATGGCAGCGTGCCTACTTATATCATCTGCAAAGCCGCAACAAAATTAATATTGGGGCTTGAACCCCCCTTCTACATACACACACTAAAAATGTAACAAAGATTCGTTTTATTCCATGGACAGGGGTATTTTATGCTTACTCATTTCTCCACATGTGACGAATAGGATGGAGTTGCATTGCATTGTAGGTAGCCTATTGATCAAAGTAGCAAAGGTCACATATGCTGTTCGAATCGTGCATGAAAACTCAACAGTGTGGGTCATATAGAATGCCTTAATATTTTTCGATTTCAGTCTGATTACAATGACTAACTCAAGGGTGCTTTTTTATTTTATAGTATCTTTTGCATCAGAG